GTCGTTAGGATGTCGTAGCGCTTGCGGCAAGGGGCCCACATCATGCATCCATACAGCAGGGCCTCCATCGCTTCCGCTTTAAGGAGCCGGATCTTCAGTCCCCACGATGCTGTCGGTCTACCGAAGAGCTCTCGGGTATACTTCCGGAGACAAGCCCACGCTGCTCTGCTCCGTTGGTTGTGAGTCCGAGTGCTCTGGGGCGTCAACAAAAAACCCAACCCGCAGCGATATGTAGTGTGTGATTTTCTGCAGTAGTCTATGTGCTGCTGCCCATTCTCCCTGCAAAAAATACAACTTGGATAATAACGACGTGATGTGTTGCATTGCACCAAACTATCAACATCATAATGCAACTCTTGGGGATGTAAGCTTGTGAATGTTGACGATTGTCCCGTATCGGTTTTCGAAGAGGTGTCGTAGATTGTCGTCGAAAGTACAGAATGTGCCCCCACTTCAGAACTTAGCAGTCAAGAACGCGAGCCTCGAAAAATTCAAATTCTAAAAACTTGGCGATGTAAGAACAAGTGCTCAGTTCCGACGCGGCAATAAGAAGAAGAACCCGTCGTTGTGGTGTACCAATGCGCATACAGAAACGAACAGAGCCCCAAAACACGGCGACGACGCGATAAGTACTCAGGAAGGTGGGGGGTGACCCCAGCGGCATGTAGTCTCAGAATCGGGACGGGGGGGGGAGCACCTCGTGAACTGAAAAATGTACGCGCGGAGGGGGGAGGGCGTGCACTCATGTTTCGCATGCCTCAGAGGTTAGACCATTCACTACGCGCCCTCGACGGGACGGAGCATCTTCCCCACAGGACCGATCACACATGGACAATCGCTTCTTCCTATCTTGCCAACGGTGTCCCAACAATGCTTTTTTTTCTAGCCTATCTGTCCTTTCGATATCGCTTGCCGCCTCTTCAACCCGCTTGTGATGCCCCAGTACAGCTACTGTCTTCTCCTGGCTATTCCATCAATCATGTCCCTTTGATTTCCTTCTACTTTTCCCAGCCCAGTCGTGTACATTTCTCTTTGCTTGCCGTATAACGATTGCTTCGCAATTGCATGTACATGAACACGACCTTCGTACTCGGAGCTTGAAGTTGTCGTCGTTATCGCCTACCTTCCTAAATCTTCGTCTACGTTCTCGAAGACCGTCCTCGGACTTGAATTTGACCTTCGGCTTTGTCCCTGCATCCATTGGTCCATGTACTCCTTGAACCCTATTCCTTCTCTCAACATTCCGTACACCACTTCTAGACCCTCCTTCTCCTTGGTTTCTTTCCTTAGATTCTGGTGTTGTCTCTCGGCAAAAGCAACACATATCTTTTTCTTGAACCGAGACCCATCGTTTCCAACATATTGAATTCATTGATTTCGACTCCTTTCATGCGGCATCTACAACCTTAGCCACTCCGTGAGTTGTCTACCCATTTTCTCGTTGGCCTACTTCGCCTCCCAAGCTATTCTCGGCAACCTCTCCTCTCCGATATCATACGTTCGATATTGCCTTTTTGATTCTACGCGCGTCGCGCGCAGGGTGGGGGGGTAGGGGGCGTACTCTTATGTATTGCCTGTCTTTGCGGTTAGACTATTGACCACGGGTCCTCGAGAGGACGGAGCATTGTTCCCACAGGACCGATCATCGATGGCCAATCGTTCCTTCCTACTATGCCAAAGGGGGCTCAAAAATGTCTTCCCTAGTCTATCATACATACCGATATCATTTCTACCGGTATCACTTCCCACCTTTTCAACCCACTTCCTATGCCCCAGCGCAGCTAGCGTCTTCTTCTGGCTATCCTATGCCTCAAACATCTCCCTGTACCTTTCCCCTGCTTTTTCCAGCTCAGTCATGCACACTCCACTTTCCTTCTTGTACCGCGGACATTCCGCGACTAAATGAACACGGTCTTCGCACTAGAAGCCGCATCACATTTATTTGAACTTTGCGTCTACATCGTCTACGTTCCGAAGTCTTCGGCTACGTTCTCGAAGGCCAATACCCCCGCTCCTGAATTTGACCTTCAGCTTTGTCCCAGCATCCATTGGTCCATGAAGGTACTCCTTGAACCCTATTCCTTCTTTCAATATTCCGTACACTTCTATACCCTCCTTATGATTGGTTTCTTTTTTTAGATTCTGTTCTTCTCTCTCGGCAAAAGCAGCAGATATATTTTCCTTGAAGCCGTCTAGACCCTTTGTATCCAGCGTATCGTCTTCGTCAACTTCAAACCCTCTCCATACGTCACCTACAACCTTGACCCCCCCCGTGCGGTGTCTACCCCTCTTCTTGTTTTCCCACTTCGCCTCCCAGGCTATTCTCGGCAACCTCTCCTCTCCCATGTCGCACATGCGATACAGCCATGTCAGCTTCCTTGCGTCTCTTCCCGATCGTACGGATTGGATCCCCAGTTCAGCCCTGACGGCTGCATTACTTGTGCGCTTGGAGCATCCTCGGATGACTTTCGCTGCTTTTTCCTGCGCCGCCTCGAGCTCTTTGACTACCTTCTCACTTCCTTCCCATACTTCTCCGGCGTACTCTGCCAGCGGTACGATGACGCTCTTCAAAACCGTCAATTTGATGCGTGTATCGAGGNATGCGATACAGCCATGTCAGCTTCCTTGCGTCTCTTCCCGATCGTACGGATTGGATCCCCAGTTCAGCCCTGACGGCTGCATTACTTGTGCGCTTGGAGCATCCTCGGATGACTTTCGCTGCTTTTTCCTGCGCCGCCTCGAGCTCTTTGACTACCTTCTCACTTCCTTCCCATACTTCTCCGGCGTACTCTGCCAGCGGTACGATGACGCTCTTCAAAACCGTCAATTTGATGCGTGTATCGAGGTGCCGGTTTGCAAGTGCTTGGTGCAGCTGGGGGTGGGGGAGGAGGGGGTGTACTCATAGTCGTGCATGCCGTCGTTAGACCATTGACCTCGCATCCCTACAAAGCCGGGATGGAGCACGCCGGGTTCTCATCAGGCCAGGCTCTCACATCACCAAGCGCGAAGCGCCGTGAGGTATTCGGCGAGTCGCATGAAGGGTGCGCTGCATCCTGCTAAAGGTGTTCGGCATCTTGTGCTTACTTCCTTGCGTACGTATGACAGCTGCGTATGGCTTAGATTATTTTCTGGTGCTTTCACTTCCAGGGACAGTTGTAGGCACTGCGTAACTGCCTCGAGGATGCTTTATCATTTTACCACGACGTGGTGCGATCATCCCCCTTGCGCGGAGTCAGGTTTCTCGACTCCGTACAACATGATCTACTCGACCACCATTCATGGTTACGGCAAAAAAAAAACAGAGGTAAAACCCCCCCGGGTATCCTGGTTGCCGTGTTCACGAAGTGAATTGGCTTGTTTTACAACGTCGTCGCCAAGCGACGAAAACCCAAATTTTTTTTTTTCGTTGAACCAGGTTAGAGACGTAACAACAACAAAAACACGCAGCGGCAGGGGGAGGGGGGAGCATCGCGTCAAGGTGGTGTTGGAAGTGGTGGGGCTGGCAACTACAGCAGCGAAACAGGAGGCGATGGCTAGGTACAATGTGACGTGACCCACGTCCCGACATGCACCAGGTGACGTACGTATGCACAGGCCCCCAAAACAAGACACAAGTCGACTCTGCAAGCACGATCATAGCACATGCTAGGTCCGTGAGGAGTTGAGGAGATCAGAGCGCAAGCCGCCCTCACTTCTCTACGGAAAGGTTGCTGACTACGCACGCCACCCACTGCAAGTGCAGCCCAGCTGCGCTTCCTACCCCCAAGCAGGGTCACTGTCAACGCACGAGCGACCTCTCGCGAACCCAGCCTCCCAGAGCAAGCATGACCCAAAAACCGACTTTGGACTTTCTACAGGTTGCGCCGAAGCGCGTCATGCCCGCCTTTCAAGGGATGCAGCAGCATGGAGCAAATGAATAGCTGTGCGCAGCATTGCGTGGGCACCAACACCCGCCCCCGCCCCTCTCCGCCAAAAAAGAAAGTTCACTCGCTCACGAGCCTAGCATGAGAACGAAAACACGCCCCCCCCGGCGGCAACAAACGAACAAATGAAAACTCACCAGAAGGTTACGAGAACAGCCAGCAGAACGTCCAGCGTGTAGTGCAGCTTGGACCCGATGATCACCAAGGCCCCAAGGGTCACGTACGCGTAGACCGCCCGTCTCACCGCCGACAAGACACCTTCGGAAAGGTGGAAGCCTCTGAGGAGCACCTTCGTCTGTCACAGGTCAAAGGCACAACTCAAGAGCTGCGTGTGAGCCTGTACGTATCCTGTACAGCTGAGCGGCGTACCAACTCAATTGGTGTGCCGCTGGAATTAGTATAAGATCCTTCGCACTGAGTACGCAGGAAGTCCGAAGAATAAGGTAGGTTGGTGGAAATGTAATTGCTTCATCAGTGGAGACCAAAAAGAATGTAGAGAAACCGAGTGAAACCACAGAGGTGGATCGCTCCAGAAAAGCAGAGGGTTAGTGAACCCCAGGAAAGTGGACGGTTGGATAACCCCGAAGAAGCAGAGTGGGGCGAGTGCGCGCTCATCCTCGAATCATGAAATCACACCTATCCGACAACGTCGACCAGTCACACGAGTTCAGAAGACGGTACTGGTAAGCTAAGGTACGTTAAAGTTTCTGGAAAAGGTGACTTCAACACCATGCTCTCGAACTTACCACGTATGCAGAGAAAGCACTATTCTTGCGAGCACTAGTAATGGCGTAATTGACGTGCGACAAAACGCACAATACAGCAAAAAATACTTCCAAATTCCGCTGCTGAGCGCATACGAATGTTCATTCATTCAAGCACACAAGTCTGAGTTACTGGCGACAACTAGACGATCGATGCAAATATTTCTAAGCACGCAAGGCTAAGCTGCTTGCGATATTTGGTGTTGTTAATGCTGTCTTTACGTTAAAAACCGTTCCGCTCTGTCTGCCCAATACCGTCTTCTGTCCATCCTACAGCAGTCTAACACTTGACGGGGTCGATTCCCGTGGTCACAGGCTAACTTACCCAAAAAAGGTTTACGAAAACAAAATGTACCCGAAGGGTCCGCGAGCCAAAAAAACTCAACGACAGATAGTCTAGGCCACCGCTCGCCTCTTGACGCTATGCGAGGTAACCCTACACTGGAGGGTAGAAGTAGAACAAGCAAACCAACGAGAAAAAGAATAAGAATAAGAACAAGCAAAAGAGCAAGAAAAAGAAATAGAAAAAGAAGAAAAAGAACAAGAAAAAGGAAAGGACGAGAGCAGATGGAGCGAAGGGAAAGAAAAGGAAAAAGACACAAGCCGTAGCGACAGATCATATCTAGTCTAGACTATGCCTATTCTGGGCATGAAACATAGAACATCAGCCAACTTGCATGTTGTCTTATTCCGAGTATAACAGGCCGCACGGAATTTATCGACGACATGACATAGCGACGTTGACAACATTTGAGCTATAGTAGTCAGACTGAATACCTAATGCTGGAGCTACGGTAGTGTCAAATATTTTCCAACAGCAACGACGTGGGCTTCGCCCCCTCCCTATCCGCATTCGTCTTGTGTAAGCAGCCCGCTCGTTTTTCTGTCTGGCGGTCGTCGTCGTTGCCGTCCGAATGGCAGCTGGGGGAGGGGTCTCGTTTGATGGCGACGGAAGGACCTGCACTCAGGCTCAGCGGTCGTTGTAGTCATTTGGGCGGCACTCGGACCAATACTGCGAGCGAACAAGCGAACAGCAAAGAGAGCAAGAAAGGTTGGTCGAGGTTTTTCTAGTGGATCACTTCTCTTTTGATAGAGCGAGCCCAAATCATTGCGCAGAACACATGTGAAACAGCGGCTCTTGGTGGGAGGTCTGGTTTCCTACGGAAAAAGTGCTCCGTTATTTCGTTGCTGTTGGTGTTGGCGTTGCTTGAAGTGACTGTAGATGTGAAAGAAGTCTGGACAAGAAGAAATCACATTTTGCTGGCGGATGGGCAAGATTGCACGCACCATCTTTCAACCTTCGCGTCAACCCCGTCCCTCCAGATGGCCTATCTCCCTCCACACACACACGTACCTGGTCCTTGTAATAGCAGGTGGTTCCAACCTCGCAACAGGTGGGACCGGTCCAGACACCATCCACGGCGTCCCCGCCAGAACCGCCGCACTGTTCCCACTCCTCGGCACAACCCGCCGGGCGGCACTCAGACCAATACTGCGGTGACGGCACCGCAGAAATGCACAACGACAGGGCGTTTTCGCGGAGGTAACGCGGAACAGCGTGTGTTTGGGAGGGGAGAAGGAAGATGGCTGAGACACAGGAGCAACGCGCATAGGGAGGGGTCATGTACCTTACTGCCCGCCAGCTGGGAGAGAACGAAGTCGCCCGGTTCCCGCGGTCGATGCGAAAGAAAAGTGGCGTACCAAAGAGGAAACGGCGGTCGAGCGGCGGCGTGTGCTTCTGTTGCAACGGGTACTTTAGTTGGAGGAAGTGTTGGTCGTCAGAGGGGCAGGGGGGGGGGGTCGCACTGGCAGAGGGTTGGAGAAGTCGGGCACACCGAGGTGAGACCGACACGCGTTCGAGCTTGCCGAGCGCACGAAGTTTGCGTTCTTCAGGCTACGAACACAGCAGATATTGACACGAAAACACACCAGGAGAGAGTGCGGTATTGAGTTTCATTATCTCGTTGTTGGAGGTAGGCTGGTCGTCGGTGAACCATCGGTAATTGGATTGCAAAGCGGTTTCTCCAAGTAGAAACCGCAGGGAAGCACGCGAAGAATGGAAACGATGACCGGAACGTGTCGATGAGCTCAGCGTGCCGCATTCACACGATATGTACGCGACGCATAAAAAAACTATTTACACGCGCGCGTACACGCCCACCTTTCGTTGCTTTGGGAATTCGTTGTCGTCGAACTACTTCAGGTAGGGGAAATGGCATTCGTCGAATGCATAGGCGACGACATGGCACACGCACACGATAAAAAACGCAATACCGTAAATGGAGGAAGATAGACAGGCAAACGTTGAAACGGTCCATCTACGAGGTCACCCTTCACAATCCAAGGCATGGGAACCGTGAAGAGGCGGTAGGCATACGCCGAGGGGGGAGCTCAATATGCTTTGTTTCCGTCTTTGCGTGCTCAGCTGCGGATGTATTTCGTTACTGGAAACAACCGATCATCGCTTGAAACATCTGTCGTCGTCCAGACGGAGATGCGTGCGTCGCGACGTTTACGACGGTGACAAGCTTACCTGGTCCTTGTAATAGCAGGTGGTCCCAACCTCGCAGCAGGTAGGGCCGGTCCAGACACCATCCACGGCGCCTCCGCCAGAACCGCCGCACTGCCCCCACTCCTCGGCACATTCCGCCGGGCGGCAATCAGACCAATACTGCGGTGACGACACAAGAAAAGGAATGCCGACACATATGGCATTATTCTGGGTCTTCGCGCGCAACAGGCAGTGTACGTGAGGGGATAAGAAAGGTGGCATGCACGAGCCACGGACACACACGGGGGGCGACCCACTGTCCGATTTGAGAAAAACACTTTCATTTGTGGTCCTCTTCCTGCGGTGGGAGCGAATAAGACAAATGCGGACTGACAGGGAGAAAACAACGGACGGTGGAGCGGTGGTTTCTGGTGAAGAAATAGGTTTTTTGTGTAGGGAGAGAACAAGAAGTCGGAGACAGGAGCACGTGGAAAGATGTTTCGTTGAGGGCAGCCGCCATTCCCGAGGGGCACGGCAGCCGCGCAGACAGAGTAGTGGTAGAACAGGGGAGGTCCAGATCCAACTATAGTCTTGGTATTTCAACGCTCTCCCAGATGGAAAAAAATGCCCAACGCTTGTTGACGCATCTCTAAGGCATGATCTAGAATAAACTGAGAACCGGAAGAGAGATGTGCGTGTCGCGACGTTCACATTCTTCGCGACAAGCTTACCACGTCCTTGTAATAGCAGGTGGTCCCAGGCACACAGCAGGTGGGGCCTGTCCAGACACCACCCACAGCGTCGCCGCCAGCACCACCGCTAAGGAAGGGAAGCACAAAGAGTTGTACGAGAGATAAACGGTCGAGTAAAAACAAAAAATAGCAATACAGAAGCGTCAGAAGCGTCGGTGTCAGGAAGGAAGGGTGACAGGAGCAGTTCTGCCTTTCGCGATGGCGGCGGAACGGTTCCGCTTCCAAATCCAAGGGAAGGGATTGCGTGTGTGTCTTGGACGATAGAGGCTGTGTTTTTCGTGGAGCAAAGGATCGGGCTGCTTTCCCGCCGTACTCCCATACTGGTTCCTGTCGACTATCTCATTTCCGGTGAAAGACCATCGAACACGAGAACAGGCTACCTATCTGGGACCACTCTTGCTGGTACGTGTGACTCATGCAAGAAGCGTACACATGCATGGGCGCAAAACAACCAAACGATATACCGAATCCTTCGAACTCACCACTGTCCCCACTCCTCGGCACACCCTGTTGTTCGCATTGTTGCCGTGGAAGGGGATTTTCAAAATCGAGCGGACCAAAGTCACGGTCATTGGGTGGTTGGTGGTCAGTTGTGCACGGCGCGACAAAGCAAGCATGAATCCATATCTATATGTACGAAGTTCGGCCTATGCACAGTCGTGTGATCAACAACAGCAGCAACAGGAGGCTTCGAAGGGCCAGAGTTAGAAAGCCATTCCGGACACCACCACTCTGCCTCTCACCGGTTGGCTCGGTAACCGCGGGAGTTGTCTCCTCCGGCGGGGTTGGGCTCGGTGGCCCATCTGCAACGGGAGGGGGGGGGGCGTACAAGAGGGTGGGCCACGGGGTGTGCATCAGGCACTGCTTGCTTTCTCCTGTGGCCACTGCCTAGTCTATTGTGGACCCTCACAAGCTAGGGGGGAAGAGCGGCGCTTGCACGGATGAGGTTTGGTAGTAGACCAGGACAGTTACACTGCTAGGCGAGACGCGTCGCTGTTCGGGAAGTATCATCGGCAATGGCATTGGGACGGCAGGGTGATTGATCCGCGTATCAAAAAGTGATATGTACTCCTCGCGATAGTCTGCGGGGTGTTTGTAGGGGCCGGAAAGTCGACAACCTCTCGTTGCTCTCGTGTGAACGATGGCTTGGAACAAGAACCTTCGTAACAAGGCAAGAAACATGGCGTGTGGTCATCAACTCCTATCCCGAGTGATTCTACACGCACATCACAACAGCAGAACTGCGCATAGACACCAGCACCATATTTGGTAGGCAGGCACAGCATCCGCGATACATCAATCCGTACAGGCACCTCCCGCCTCGAACCGAGTGCTAAGTACTCGCTCACCGCTCGCAATGCTAAAGTCGGAACACGCCCAGAACTCCTCGGGGTAGTAGCCCCCCTGGCCGCACGCTTGCCCGGTGGTGTCGACCCAGTCTTCCTTGTCGGGGGCGCAGGCGCTAGGCCACGAGGGAGGGTTGAACTCTTCATACCCCATGTGGTAGCAAGTGTTCCCGGTGTCTTTAGTGCCAACATTTCAAGTTTTTCAATCGGTACATACATAGCATTGACACGCGACGTGTGTGTGTGGGGGGGTGACGTAAGCAATGACGCATACGTTTAAGGATATCAACGAAACCTGGTTCGTGTGATGACGCGCAGAAAGGAGAGACACGCCGCATGGGCGAAGTGTACTGAAGTGCTCCTGCGGTTTCCTTCAATATTGTTGCCAACACTTTTTTATAATGCATTTTCTACTTTATTATCTGGCAGCCGCTGGCAACGTGCCCGAACACCCTCAATCTGATGCTCTCGATACAGAAACATCCGGTTCGGCCCATGTGCATGTAGCGTACGCCGTCGACGGTCTGGGAGCTCGTGGTTGTAACGGTTGTTCGATGTCGTATCCACGTGCGTACCGAACCTACTCCTGATACACAATCCACATGCAGTGTGGTCGCGTCGATATCAGTCGTGCAATTTGGAGTCAGCAGAGTACCTGTCACGAACGGTGTGTGATCTGGGCTTGAACCAAGAACGGTAGCCACCCCGGAACGCCGACAACACGATGGAAACCCCACCACCTTACACACACCCGAAGATTATCAACAACAAGAACGACAAACGACCAAAACACCCCGACTCACGGTACACCATCTGCAGGATGCAGTGCGAGCACTCGATGTCCGGCAGCACGTAGCGCATCTTCATGTTGTTGCCGGAGATGGCAGGGCTTGGTCTGGTCCACCTCGCCCTCCTCCCCGCGGCAAGTCGGGTCGCAGTAGTAACGCCCCGGAAAGTTGGGATCGATGGGACTGTTGTCATCGTCTCCTTCCGCACGCGTGAGTGGGTACTGGTTGAAGCACTCTTGGGTGGGGATGCCGTCGGGGTCGCTGTCGGCGTTGCAGATGAAGAACTCGAGGTGACCCTGCAACAAGTATGACTCGGTCGGAATGGTTGTGTGTGTTTGTGCTCATGTTAACGCAAGCAATGGTCGTTTCAACTTTGACCTCGCATCTCTGCAAATGCCGGGACGGAGCGACATGCCGGTTTCCCCCCGGCCCGGGCTATTGGTTGGAGAGGGGGGGGACGGGGGGATTGGTGGTCTGAAAGTTCTGCCTGCAAGCGGCAGCATCCGGACCAGACCAAACGGAACGGAGACGGAAGAAACGCACACCACCATCTTGTCGGAAGCCACGAGAGACACACTGTAGCGACAGCAGTCCTACGTTCAATTTTCGAGTGCGGCGAAAACAACAACCGTTCGCTAGCGCGAACGGGTCGTTTTTTGCAAAGCGGCAGGTTCATACACACACCAAGAAGTTCCTGAGGAGGAAAGGTTTTGTAGATCGTCGGGCTTGCAACCGGAATGTAAACAACGACATGAATACTGCATCCCAGCTCCTAGTGTGACGTTTTGCGCGTGCGGACGGTTTCGCGCAGTGGGCTTGCTGATTTGCTCACCGTTTGCGGCTCGCGCCCATATTTCCGCGCCAGAGGGTACCGCGCAAAACGTACACATGGACAACACCAGCGTGGTCAATATTTGGGGCTCGGGATTCCTCGTCTTCCCTCTCACACGATAGGCGTTAGGTGTAAGGGCAGGCTAAGGTTTGCCTTTGATTGCGATTCCTTCTTACCCAGTGGTAGGCGTTCATGACAACGTCAAACTCGAGCACCTGCCCGCTCTGGAACGTGGCCAGGGGTTCCCAGTTGCTGCTGGCCGTGCTGTACGTGTTGCTGCCCGAAGGTTTGAACTGCCAGCAAACAGGTGAGAGTCAGCCTTTTACACGTATGCGAACCATCACTACTGTCATCAGCAAGGGGGGACGCTGTCCGACAAAGTCGTTAAACGCCTGCGTCGTCGACTACACTTCAAGCAACCGCCCAGAAGCCCATACGGTGCAAAAGTGTGCATAACCGCCCGCGATGATGTTGGTTGGGCCGGGCCGAGAGGGGGCGAGAGCGTAGGTTTAGGTTTTTCGATCCCCTCTTCCCCGCCTCGTCCATGATACCACACAACACCCTTGCTTTCTGCATGCAATATACAACCTGCTCAAACGAGCTCGAATGTACATGCGAGACGGGTGGGGTCTTTCATGCAACCACTCGAAGGTAGAGGTCGTCACGTGGGGCGCTGGTTCAGTCGATGGATCACGGACGGCGCTAGAATACTAGACTGATACCCACCGCCCAGCTGCGCGAAAATATCACAGTGAGCGCACGACAACCCCCTGTTTCTACTGCCAGAAAACAACTCAGCAAAACAAGTACCCGGTACAGGTACGAACAGATGCTCGACGGGAGAAACGGCCAAGAGAAAAAGACGGTTGAGCCGTAGGTAGGTGTGCCCATGCGTTTTTTCATTCACCACATGCATACCTGCTCGGGATCGCCGCACACGCCGTGGCGGACCGCGACCTCGTTGGGCTCGAGGTAGTTACCGTTCGGGGCCAGCGGGACGAAGGCCAGCGGGAACTCGTTCCCCCCGCCGTGGCTTTCGAGCACGTCCGGGTCCATGAGCTCAATCCCCCGCGCCTTCGTCCCTGCCGTTCCATGAGCGTTGTAGCAGTGAGGGCATCCGTCGAAGTTCGGGTCGTCCCTGCGGTGGAGCAAAAAACGTGACGGCCACGCGAGCGTTTTTTGGGGTTGCCGGGGAGTGAGCGCTGAATGTGGCAAGATCGGATTCCTCCCATCTACAAAAACCACGCCGCTTCGCTTTGTCGTGCCGCCGTTTCACCCCGCGGTCGAAAGGAACAGACCAGCAACATTCAACGCGCGCCGTATGGTGGGTGCGCGCCAATGTCTAGACCTAATGGAAAGTTCATCTGGCGAGCCCTTGCGACCCCCGCCATGATTGCTAGAGAAACCGAATGACCCGACGCTCATAAATGAAAATTTGTAGTCAGATGTTCTCCGTGTTCTGTGGTAGACTAAACTTGCAGGACGCTTGATAGTAGAGCACATGCGTCCTGCGAAGCTCACACAAGTTAGTTACATCGTTCGCTTAAAGCTAGGAGTTTCGGCCAATGGACAAAGATGGTTTCGTGTGTCTGCTCTTGAAAGAAATTAATTGCAGGAGAATGACACGTTCTTTGCCGTCCTTTACATACCTGCTTTTCCGCGTTGTAACTTCGAGGACACACAACCGCCGTACGCGTCAGTGAGTTCAACTTCGTGAGGGAACTCACTGTCCGTTCTACTCATCAAAGTATGGTTTAGACTTGTCTAAGTACTCCTCATATAGGTATCGTATAGCAATCGACCGTCTAACAAGCAGGGGAGTAAAAGAGACCACATATTGTGGTAAGGATCGTCTGTGGACACGGTAAATTACAGTTATGAGGAGACGTGGGGAGAAAGTTGACCGACGTCCACGCTATCTTCGCCAGGGCTCGGAAGTGAAACTTCAAGGTCAACCAACCTTTCAATAACCACATAGCCTCTAATATCCATCGCGACTCCTCTACGAGGCTCTCGGNATATGCGAGAACAGTATTTCGACGGTGACGTTCAAGGATGCGGCGCTTGTACTTTTAGTATCTCAGCGAGGGGCGCGTGGCGAACTCGTGACGGAACTACTTTTACTACACTGAGAACACCCGTTCTCTCTACAGAGATTCAGAGTCCCTGAAGTGGTGCTTTAACCGTCACCAGCGGAGGTATTTGCCTCTCGTGATATGCGGCGAGGAAGTGCCAAGCGAAGGCAAGTCTCGGCTTAGCTAGTTCAAGGTCAAGAAGGTGGAAGTGAGAGAGGGGGGGGCCTTCGTAGACAATCTCCCCATCTCCGAGATTCACATGATGAATGGTCAGGGTATTCTATGAATCTTCGGGCTGCATTCTTTGGACGGTAGAACATTGTCCATGTACATGCATTGTAGTCGGCGAAAACAACAGAACATTGGTCACTTACCTACATCATCAGTGCGACCAAACGTTTTTTTGTTTTTGTCCTCCCATCATTGGACTCTGTCGTCTGCCCCTCTGGCCCCTATCCTCCACTTCTGCTAGCTAGACGACCCAACCGGGGTCACAAAGGAGGGGGGGGCTGGACCCCTTCCTGCGGTTCGTGCCTGAGGTATTTTTATCGCGAGAAGGGTACAACAATCCCTTCCCTCGCGACTTACGAAGTCGACTAGGGTTTTCACATTGATAACGTATGTATGTATATACGTTAGTGCGCGAAAACAACAGTATGCAACTACAACATGAACCGCTTTGATGTGGTGGTCTACTCACTCTATGGATGTATGTACGAAACTATTGTACTCACATTTTCGTTGCCATAAAAGTCTTCGGGCGAAATAACATTGTGCAGTACGTACACCAGTGCACGAAAATAACAGACCATTGTTCAGAGGGCCCTTCACCACCCAACCCCAGTACCACATAGGATTTAGACTGGGTATAACATGGTATTAGGAAGAGATGAACGGCATGGTTCCAGCATTTTGAAAAGGGAGTTGAGGAAAGTGATGGCCGTAAATATGTGGGAAAAATAAGGGGACAGGATTGCTGTAGCCCCGCATGCATCGGAGCACAACGCGCCGCGTTTGCTCTCCGCCGTTTGGTTCTAGTACACTACGCTCAGGAGCTGTTCCCTCGGGTACAGCGTACAGCTCGGGTAGGCTAGGTGTGCCACTACTGCTGAGCTGGTACTGCTGGTTCTGTGCGATCAGTCAAAGTGATGGTAGCAGGAGCAGGGAGCAGGTCCCTGCTCTGCCTGCAAAGTACCCATTGTTGTGGTTGGTCGCAGCAGCTTCCCTGCTGCATACACATGTAGACTAGTCTTATAGACATCGGGACAAGTCGGTCGTTGGGGGGACGGCGCGACTGAGTGCAAACGGGAAGTCCATGA